TCCCTGCTTCTACCCCTGATGGCTTGCTTGTGCGAGTGCCGCTGGCGAAGCCTTACAAGGTGTGCGCATCCGCGAAATTCTCTTTGTTGCCCCCCTTTCTGCGTACTGGTTTGCTGTCGGTATTGTTGCAGGCAGCGTTCTTCCTGGGAATGTTGGCTTCGCATCTTGGTGCCACAGTGTGTTTTAGGCGTTCGACCGTCGCCGAGGGTCAGGGGAGCTCTGCGTCCCCTGGTTGAGTTTTTCAGGGTCCCTCTGCCGATGCGGTTTCGATTCGGGCAGAAACGCGCACCCGCCACCCCAACCACCACGAGGTTTCGCCACCCCGACCACCACCGCCCCCCACCACAACCCTCCACCTCACCACCTGCTACCGCCGTAACTTCCCTCGACGACCACCCTCCACTATCACCACCGCCACCGAAGTAGGAGTGACGGCACAGACTCCTTCGCCAAAGCGGGGAAGTGAACATCTCCAGTATCATCGCCAACATCACCATAATCCTCGTCACCACAACCATCGCCATCATTATCACCACCATCAACACCTTCGTGCTCGTCGTCACCGTCGTACTCACCACCACCACCACCACCACCACCACCATCATCATCATCATCATCATCATCATCATCATCATCATCATCATCATCATCATCATCATCATCATCATCATCATCATCATCACCGTTACCGCCATCATCATCACCTCCATGGGAATGACGACGGCGAAGAGAAACCACTCCGAACTTGCATCCATGCAGGTTTCAAGGCCGCCCCGAAACTGCATGCGTGCAGGTCCAACTCAAAGGACCAGCCTTCAACTTAGAACAAACGGCTCCTCATCTACCTTATCGCTCTATCCGCGGGCGCGTGTCAAAGCCGACCTGTACCTCCATCAAATATTCCGTCGTGTCATGTGCAGTCGGAGAATGGGGGCTGCGTACATAGGAGGAGAAGTTGGCAGGTGAGCAGGAGGACGAGCAGGTGAACAAATAAGGAGGTGGAGGAGGAGGCGGAGGAGGAGGATGAAGGAGGGAGGAGGGAGGAGGGAGGAGGGAGGAGGAGGAGGAGGAGCAGGAGGAGGAGGAGGAGGAGGAGGAGGAGGAGGAGGAGGAGGAGGAGGAGGAGGAGGAGGAGGAGGGGGAGACGGAGGAGAAGAAGATGATAAGATAAGAAGAGGAGAAGATGAGGACGAGGAGGAAGAGGAGGAGGGGGAAGAGGAGGAGGAAGAGGAGGAGGAGGAGGAGGAGGAGGAGGAGGAGGAGGAGAAGGGGGTCGAGGAGGAGGCGGAGGAGAAGGAGGAGGAAAAGGAGGCGGAGGAGGAGGAGGAGGACGAGGACGATCAGCAGCATCCGGAACTGGAGTGGAAGGGGCGGGAGGAGCCGGAGGGCCAGAGGAAGGCAGAGGTGGAACAATGAAGGAAGCGATAACAATGGAAATGGATTCGAATCCAGGAAAAAGTTGACTACGTTTGAGCGAGTGGGCCATTCTGAACGACAGGAGCAACGCGCCGATTCAAAAGTGAGGCCCACGCTGCAGCGGGATCACTATTAACACTGAACGCCGTCGGACTATACAACGCCATAAGAGAACCACCCTTGTCCAATAGTACGCAGTACGCGGAGAGGGTGGAACATTTCCCGTACAGAGTCAGGGGAGAAAGGAGAGTAGTATCCTTTTTGAGAAGCTGTTAGGGATGAACCACAGCCGCAGCCACAGCTGCAATCGGAATCACAATCGGAATCGCAATCGCAATCGCAGCCGCAATCGCAATCGCAATCGCAGCCAGAGTGCCGCAGCCACGCTGCAGCCGCAGCCACAGCCGCAACCGCAGCCACGGCGGCAGCCGCAGCCGCAGCTGCAGCCGCATGGGAGGAGGTTGAGCAGGATGGCGGGGATGATTCATGGCTAAAGGAGGCGGAGGCGGAGGAGGAGGAGGAGGAGGAGGAGGAAGAGGAGGAGGAGGAGGAGGAGGAAGCGGATGAACATAACAGACGAGAAAGGGGGATTTGAGGAGGGCATGTGGTTGGAAACTTTTGGACAGCGTGTCACTCCGCCGGTTCTGGCCCACCACGCTTCGGCGTGACACGCTATCCACATCGCGGTCTCTAGGCGTCAACGTCGGCGGTCTCTTCCGAGCCTCCCGCCAAAGGCAGGGCGGAACGACACGCTGCGCGCTCGCAGGGCACGGCGTGTCGCCTTGGCCGCCGCCGCGACATGCGAAGCAGCGGTTCCCGACCGCAGGCGGAGTGAGGAAGCCTCATGAGGGGGAAGGGGTGGGAGCAGGAGGGGATGGGGCGACGCTTGGCGCTTTGGACGTTGTTGCCAGTGGTGTCCTCAGCAAGTTTGCAGTCCGTCGGCGCCTCTCAGGCTGCCGACGCCGGCCGTGATAGTCGGTGCTCCGTAGCCTGCTCGCGCCACGACCACGACTGCTTCGGGGGTGGGTGGGGACGAGCAGGAGGGACAACCAGTAAGGAGCGATGGGGAAGGGATGGGGAGGAGGAGGCTCCTCACCCGTTTTCTCCATCTCTTCCTCCTCTTTGTTATGGTTTTTCCGTTCCCACTCCTCTTTCTTCTTCGCCCTGATCTTGTTCCCTGTGGTTTTAACAGCCTTCTATGCCCCCCCTGCGGCGTCCTGCGGCCTTGCATGGCCATCTTGTCCTCGCCTCTGGCATCCCGTGTAAGTTCCACCAGCTTCACGAATGAGCTGTGTATATTCTTGTGTTCGGTTGTGTGCTGAGGGCTTGAAAACATGCCCCCGTGGGTGCCATTGACTAACAGTGTAAGGAGGCCGCAACGGCGCTCGTCTGATTCCCCCTCAAACATACATCAAGATCGCGCCATTGTTCAACATTCCCGTGCACTGTACTGAATTATCGGGCCTTTGCATGGGATCTCTGCCTGATTCCGAAGGCCTTACGGCTGGTGCCGCCGACCCTGAAGGGGAACGACGGCAACGGCGGCGTCGACGACGACGTTGACGTGGGTCAGAGTCCTCATGGATGCTTCTTGGGGTCTCTTCGAAGCTCTTTCGGGGGCCTCTGGGGGACATTTTAGGGGCCTCGTGGGAGCTTCTTGGGGGTCTCTTGGGGGCCTCTTGGGCCTCTCGAGACTTCCTGGAGGCCTCTTCAGGGGCTTCTTGGAGACTCTTGGGGGCCTCTTGGACCTCTTGGCTTCTCCTGGGAGCCTCTAGGGGCCGAGGGCTCGAAGTGTCCGTTCTGGTCCCTCGTCTGGGCACCCTCTGGGAGTTGTCTTGGGGGCCTCTTGGTCCGTCTTGGAAGCGTCTTGGGCTGTCTTGGGGCCCTCTTGGGCTGTTTGGTTCCCTCCTGGAGCCCTCTTGGGCCGTCTTGGGGCGATCTGGGGGGCCTCGTGGGCCGTCTTGGAGCGTCGGGAAGTGGAAGAGGCGAGAACGCCGAAATGCTTCAGAAACCATATGGAAATCACTGATTTTTCATCTGGGGGCCCTCTTGGGATGGAGGCATCTTGGGGGGTCTCGCAAGGCTTTTGGGTCGTCTGGAGGCCGTCGAGGTCTTGAACATATCTTTCGGCGATTCGGCGCCCTCTTGGACTGTCTTGGGGGGCCTCTTGGGGCACTCTTGGCCCGTCTTGAGTTTTTTTCTGGCCCCCGGAATCTCCTGACCAGGGAGCCCCCCCCCCCAGGACCCCCCCCGGGGACCCCCACGGGGACCCCCGCAGGACAATCCCGGGACCCCCCGGGGACTCCCCGGGACCGGACCCGGGACCCTCCACCCCTTTCCCTGGCCAGGGAGGGATCAAAGAGAAGGGGCTTCCCTTCGAGGCAATTGCGACGTTGCTCAACTTTTTCCTTTGGCTGGCGCGCTTGAGGAGGAGGGCCTAACTGGGAAGGGGTGGGGAGCGGCGACGGGCTCAGCGCTTGAATCGGGGGCGGCAAGGAGGGGGGTGATGCCTAGGGGGGGTGGATATCATGGCGGGGGCCAGATATATATATATATATATATTATATTATATATATATATATATATCCCCAGATCTCAGGGCGCCTCTTCTGATTTCATTGCGTCCCCGGACCCCCCCCGCGGGGCCGCGCACGTGCCGCCGGTCATGATCTGCACCCCCTCCCTCCTTGGACACCCGCCTCTTGGCCGCTCCCAAGGCTTGAGGAGGAGGGCCCCGTGGGAAGGGGGGGGAGCGGCAACGGGCCCAGGGAGAGAAAGGGGGTGGCGCAGGGCAAGGGGACGACAGAGACTCCTCCTCCTCCTTCTCCTCCTCCTCCTCCTCTCCTCCTCCTCCTCCTCCTCCTCCTCTCCTCCTCCTCCTCCCTCCTCCTCCTCCTCTCCTCCTCCTCCTCCTCCCTCCTCCTCCTCCTCCTCCTCCTCCTCCTCCTCCTCCTCCTCCTCCTCCTCCTCCTCCTCCTCCTCCTCCTCCCCCCCCACTCCTCGCACAAGCCGACGAAGTCAGCGGATTTACTTGGGTATCGCGCGCTCGCTCTTCAGAAGTCGTTGCTTTCGCCTGGGATGTGTCGACGAGCGGCGTTCTCGTCGCGCTGTCGCCTGGGACTGCATCGTCGTCAGTTTCTTGTGTCTTTCCTGTCTCACCCGCCCGACCCGCCTGTTGGGGTCCGCCCGCCCGACCCGCCCGTCGGGGTCTGCCCGTCCGACCCGCCGTGGGGTCAGCTCAACTCAACCAGCTCGCCGACTCCCGCGCCGAGCGGCTCGCCGACTCCCGCGCCGACCAACTCGCTGACTCCCGCACGAACGGGCTTCGCGGCTCCCGCGCCGCCCAGCTCACCAGCTCCCGTGCCGACCAGTTCGCCGACTCCCGCGCAGACCAGGTCACCGACTCCCAGTCCGTCCAGCTCTTCGAGTTCCCCACCGACTTGCTCGCCGACTCTTGTGCCGACCAGCTCGCCGACTCGGGCGGACGACGCCTACCAATGCCTACCAGTACATCGACTTTGGTGTCCTGTCGACGACCGCAAGCCGCACTCGTCGGCATCCAGGCGTGGTGCACGCAGCGCAGCATGCTGGGCTACCCTCTGCTTGGGCGTTCGGGCCCATCCGCTACCCCGTGGCGGAGGATGGGCTGGCATTCCCCAAACCTGGTTCACCAGCAGTGCGCCGATCAGCATCACGACCGACTCCAGCAGCACGACGATGTGTAGCACGATGGGAGACCCGTACCACGCTTAGCAGCACGACATCGTGCAGCATGGCATTACTTATGCGCTGCCATACGGTTGCTGGCAGCACGACGAGGAGCAGCCTGACAGGCTTCAGCATTACGTGGCTGATTAGCACGATGGAGTTCTGTATCACGTCCCCTAAAAGCTCGGCTGCTCAGCACGACGGCCACCAGCAGCACCGCGGCCACAAATAACGTGACCGGCACATTCTTCAGCGCGTCCTGTGCCAGCCGCAGTAGTTCTTTGATTGTGCGTTCGGGACCTTCTGTGTTCCTGCTATGTGGCCAAACTATCGGCCACGCTGCCGGGACAGAAGGGTACGATGGCTCGTACCGCATAGCGTCAACATGTAAACGAAGCACATCTGCTTCTCACGGAGCAGGTGTGCGTGAGTTGGAACATAGCATCGTTTGTACGACATCTGATTTTCCCCGAGCTACCAGTACATTTGCATCGGCTCTCAGACGACAACTGCGAGCAGCACGACTGGAGTACTACGCGCGAAAGCAACAGGACGGGCGCCATGCGCAGCGCACCAAATGCATCCAGCAGCACCACTGTGATCACCACGACTGAGACCTGCAGGATCACACGCAGCAGCACCAGCGCAAGCAGCGGCACCGCGCGCAGCAGCACCAGTACAGCCAGCAGCACCAGAGTGACATCACGGCTGGAGCCAGCAGCACCATTCGCAGTAGTACCAGTGCTTCTCGCAGCACCTCCGTAGTCAGCGCGACTGGGAAGAACAGTGCCGCCGCAACACCCCGGTAATTACCTCGACTGGGACCAGCAGTGTCGCGCGGAGCAGCACCAGCGCGACCAGCAGCTCCACTGTAACCACCACGACTGGGACCAGCCGCACAGAGCGCAGCAAAACCACGCGCAGTTGCAGCAGCACGGCGAACAGCACCGCTGTGAGTGCAGTGATTGGGATTTGTAGGGCCATGCGCAGCAGCAGCAGCAGCAGCAGCGGCAGCAGCAGCACCAGCGGCGCATCCAACAGCAACGCTTGCAGCAGTGCCAGTGCACCCAGCTGCACCCACGTGGACCACACTGCTGGCCGCTGGCCCGACCCGTAACAGGGCGGGAACGCAGAACGGTATCATTTCTGCACAGTGCGTTGGTCCTGTCAGGGCGCCCGTTGGCCTCAGCTTTGCCCAGGTGGATTTTGGATCTGGCTGGGTTCCATATCGCGTCTACCTGCGTGCACCGGCCCACGAGCTCGGAGGTAACGTGTGCGGGGTCCAGCTCCGAGAACACTAGAGGTTCCCCGAAGTGCCAGTACATCAGCGTGCCTTTCGACGCCTGCGCCGTCCTACAGCCCGACCCCGAGCCAGTCTCCCAGTCCAGTGTCTGCGCCGATTCCATGTCCTGATGCACTGTGGCATTTGGATGTGTACGGTGTGGTTGCAGGGCCACCCACGCTGACATCATGCCCATGACCTTCGGCCCTGTCTTCAGGTGCATGTTGCATTGGAGTCCCTCGTTCTCTCCCTTTCCCCTTTCCCTCTCTTCCGCCTCCTGCCCCTTCGTAGGTCTCATCAATATTGATCGTTGCCTTTCGCGTGCGTGAAGCGGGCACTTCGCCGGAGGGGCTCCTGTTCTTCTGCGAGCTTCCGGCGTCCGCCGGCAGGTGTTGTCTTAGTAACCGATGCAGTTTAGTGATTCGTTGTCTCTAGCCGCCTCTTCCTGGGCTCCTTCCTCCGCCTCCCCCTGTCTCGTTCGTGCACGGGCATGCTGAGCTCGCGTGGTGAGTCTTCGAGCCGCGCGCACCTCTTCTGCGCACTCCTTGAGACCGGGAGAGCACATGTCAATGTCGGAGTTCCTGTCTGGCCTGTGCTTCGGTCGCGGCCCCTCCTGCTGTCGTGCGGTTCCTTCGGGAAGTCATTCGGCTTTTTTCTGTGCGGGGCGGTGGTATGGACCATGGTGCTGTGCGGACGCCGGCATACAGTCGGGGCCCTGAAGAAGGAACCCTTTTCGTTGGGGAGGGGCTCGGTGTTCCTTGATTGTTCTGCAGTTTGCCTTTTGTTTTCCTGAGGTTTTCCATGACAAATCGAAGTTCAACTTATGGGAGAAAGGGGCCCCGGTCCTTATTTAGGGTTCTTTAGGTCATCGCCCCGACTGTAGGTGGTGATTGGACCTTCGGCCGGTCCTTTGGCGCCCCTCCTCCTTCTCTTCCTGCTGCTTTTTGGTTCCTTCCGCTTCGCCCTGCGGCAGGCAGCCAGCACCTCGTGGTGTAATATGCACGAGGTGCGGTGCGCTTTCAGGGAGCGCCTTGCTTCCCTCGCGTGCTGACAGGGCAGTTTCATCCCCACGCGCGAATGCATGGCAGTTTCACCTTCTTGGTCACGCCTTCTCCTGCGGCGGAAAACAGCAGCTGGGTTGCTCGTGCTCCTGGCTCCAACCGCCCGCAGGCAGCGGCTCGAGCGAGCATCTGACCACCGCTGGGCAGATTCTGTCGACTGGATGTGGAGGAGCAACTGCGTATCGGGGTTACCTTGAGGCCTCTGGGGTGGGGGGAGAGGGTTTGCGGGCATGTTGGGTATTCTCGGAGGTCGACTGGGGCTGGCCTGGGGGCGCGTCGGGCCCATCTTCGTGCCTTGGTGGCATCGTGGGGCCTCTTGAGGCCACCTTTGGCCCACCCAGGGCAATCTTGGAGCCATCATGGGGCCTGTGGGACATCTTGGGAGCAGAGCCAGGCGACCAAGAGAACAGCGCCGAGGCACCCGTGAGTTTTCGGCAGGATCCTGCCTCCCAAGCGCGTCTTGGGGCCCTCTTTGCTCCGTTCTCGGAGCCCGCCGCCGATGGTCACCCCTGTGCACTGCCAGGGGCGCACATTGGCGCCTGCGGTGGGCGCGCTCGCACCGCCCTCAGGCCGCTTTGGCTCCGGCGCCGACGCGCGGCTCTCGCCGTGTCCCCTGCTGGTCCATCTGGGCCCTCTCTGCGGCTCTCGCGATGGCTTTCGGCGACGTCGCCGGCACGCCGCCGGCGCTGGCCCTCGTCGGGGGGGTGGGCGCCCCTCGCGGGCCAGTTGTCCAAGGCAGCGGCGGCGCCGCCTCGGCGGCGCCGCTGCTCGATGGCGTCCTCCGTCGGCTTGGGCTTGCTGATTGGGCGCAGGCTCACGCCCATGGTCGAGAGCAAACTGGAGGCAACGATCCTCTCGCAGAGCAGGGCGCGCTGACTTGACAGAACTGGCTACCTACGGAGTGCAGGAGAAGTCGGGCCCCGTGCCACGAAGCTCCTGGGCTCGGGCCGTGGAGGTGGAGTCTCCGCAGGCGGACTCGCGCGCGCGGAGCGGAGCGCAGGAGTCTTGCTCGGGTTCTCCGCTTGCGTGTCCAGGCCAGGCCTCGGGTCTGTTTCTCCCGAGCTGGTGGCGTCACACTTTCTGCATATTTCTAACGCATCTCCAGCGCACCGGGCCGTTGGAGACAGAAGCACCGAAAGGCATGGCTTGCATCTCTCACTGCCCGGGCTGTCAGGGATGTGTGAGACATGCGTCAGCAGTGCGCGTTCGGCCCCCCGGCCTGGCGCTCGTTGCGCCGCGCGCCGCATCACGCTCGATCGAACAACGATGGGGTCCAGAGCGAAGGATTGCAAAAAAAACCCAGGATTGCAAAAAAAAACCCAAGGATTGCAAAAAACCTTGTTTTTGTTTGCAATCCTTGGTTTGCAAAAAAACTTGGGTTTTTTTGCAATCCTTCGCCCAAGGGTTTTTGTTGCAATCCTTGGTTTTTTTTGCAATCCTTCGTTTTTTTTTTGCAATCCTTCGTTCAAGCAGGGCACGATGCGTTGGCAGGTGAGGCGTGCCGATTGAGGCTTATGTCGGGACACCCATCGGAGGCCTGTCCGCGCCGCGCTCCAGGACCCCCCCCCAGATGGCCAGGCTTCCAAAGGATTGCAACAAAAACCAAGGATTGCAAACAAAAACCAGGATTGCAAAACAAAAACCAGGATTGCAAAAAACCCAGGATTGCAAAAAAAAACCCAGGGTTTTTTTGCAATCCTGGTTTTTTTGCAATCCTTTTTTTGCAATCCTCTGTTCCTCTTCCTTCCTCGTCCGTGGCAATGCAGGTTCGAGTATTTCCTGTCAGTTCCTCCTCCTTCGTCCGCCGCTCTGTTGGCTCTGTCCGCGACTTCGGATCTGGCGCTCCTTGCTCCAGGGCGGACCAGCGGTGACGACGTGGTTTGTTTTGCTGTTGTCGCTTTTCCACCGGCTGCGCGTCCATGTTGCTAACGCCCCCCGCTAGCGTGGACTGACGCGTAACCGAGGCAGATCAACGTGCCATTCGCAATGACCGAGAGCACGCCCAAGGCTTCATCCTCGGATTCATCTGAGTCATCGGCAATCCTACGAAGCTCCAGGAGGCATGTCTGGATGTCTTCATCGGGTGCACTCTCCTCCACGGCCGCGTGGTCGTCGCTGGCGGCGTCGCCAATCTCCGCGTAGGGAGCTCCACCGAAGGCCCCAGTGGCACCGTCCGCATGCGTCCGTCACACCCATGTCGGCACACTCCTCACACGTTTCGTGGCCCCATAGGGAGCTCCACCCAAGGCCCCAGTGGCACCGTCCACATGCGCCCGCAACACCCATGTCGGTACACACCTCTCACGTTTCGTCGTGGCGTCACAGGGAGCTCCACCGAAGATGATACTCACGACTGCGGTGCTCACAGCTGCAGATGGTTGGGTCCTTCGCTAGGCTATTTTTCCGTTGGTTCATGAGGATTTTCGAGTTCTTGCCTTTTCAGTTTCCCGATGCTCCGCGACGGCCCAAGAGGCCCCAATGTCTGCTCCAAGACAGCCCTGAAGGCCTCGAAGACGGCCACAAAACAGCCCAAGACGGCCCCAAGATGGCGCCAGAGGCGCCCAAGACGGCCCGAGGGGGCTCGAAGACGGCCCCAAGAGGGAGCCAAGAGGGGTACGACGAACCGAAAATCCGTGCCTTCCACCCCGAGAGGCTCTCAGGAGGCCCCGAGAAACCCCCAACAGGCCCCAAGAAGCCCCCCAGGGGGCCGAAGAGGTTCCAAGAGGCCTCCCACGAAGGCCCGAAAAAGGCACAACTCATTGTGTTCCCATCGGTTGTTGATCGATTTTCGAGGTTTCAGCCTTTGGGCGTCCTGACGCTCCAAGACGCCCCAAGAGGCCCCCAACACCGTTCCAAGATAGCCCAAGAGGCCTCCAACAGGGCCCCAAGACGGCCCACGAGGGCCCCAAGAGGGTGCCTTAGGCGCCCAAGACGGTCCGAGAGGGCACCAAGACGTCCCCAAGAGGGGCCCAAGCGGGGTAAGACGAACCGAAAATCCGAGCCTTAAACCCCGAGAGGCTCTCAGGAAGCCCCAAGAGGCCGCCAATATGATCCAAGAGGCTCTCAATAAGCTCCCAAGAGGGCCGAAGAGGTTCCAAGAGGCCTCCCAAGAAGGCCCGAAGAGGCACAACTCATTGTTTTCCCACTGTTTGTTGATGGATATTCGAGGTTTCAGCCTTTTGGCATCCCGACGCTCCAAGACTGCCCAAGAGGCCCCCAAGTCCGCTCCAAGATAGCCGAAGAGGCCTCCATCAGGGCCCCAAGAGGGCCCACGATGGCCCGCCCCTAGAGGGTGCCAGAGTCGCCCAAGGCGGCCCGAGAGGGCCCCAAGACGGCCCCAAGAGGGGCCCAAGAAGGGGAACGCGAACCCAACAGCAGAGCCTTCCGTTCTAAGAGGTCCACAGGAGGCCCCAAGAGTCCCCAAGTGGTCCGACGAGGCCCCCAGCAGCCTTCCAAGAGGCCCCAAAAGGCCCCCAGGAGACGTACAAGAGGCCCCAAGATAGCCGAGCAGTGCCCTCGATGCATTAAAGCTGCCTCCAGGAGGCCCCCGGGAGGCTTCTGGATTGCCCAGGTGGCCTGAAGTCGGGCCTCCACGCAGCCAAGACGGCCAATGTCGGCTTCAGATTGCAGAACATCACCTTCCGATTGCCCGGAGAACTCCGACGATGCCCCCAAGGCACTCCAAGAAGTTCCAAGACGCCCCCCCCAAGAAGCCCCCAGACGCCCTCCCAAGGCACCGCAAGAGGCCCCTTGCCCCAAGAAGCACCCACGAGGTGCCTCCAACAGCCAATTGAGGACGCACGGAGAAGCCCCCAGAAGTCCTTCAAATGCCTCCACGAAGACCCAAGAGGTTCCCAAGATGCCCTCAGGAGGCACGACTCTGTCACGCGCCTGTGCTTGATTGCGCTGTCCAAGATCTTCCAGCGCCCCCCCGGCCTGTGCTAGAACCTGAGCGCGCGCTGAGCGCGCGTGATGGTTCTAGTATCTATGTGTACCGTAGCACCCCGCAGATGCGGATAAGAGCGAGGGGGCGGTGGGGACGTCGGCAGTCTGCGAGACTCTGGAACAGCCCGCAGGCGCCAAAGTTTCACAAATCATACAGCGAACCCGCCGCAGGCGTTTTTTTTATTGTTGTTGTTGTTGTTGTTGTTGTTGTTGTTTGCTTTTAACGTTAAACCAATGTGGGTAGGTCGCGGGTGGGTCGCGGCTGGGTCGCAGGTGGGTCGCTATCGTGTCGCGGGTGGGTCGCGGGTGGGTCGCGGGTGGGTCGCGGGATGGGTCGCGGGTGGGTCGCAAGTGGGCCGCGGGTGGGTCGCAGGTGGGTCGCGGATAGATCGTGGGGTGGGTCGCGTGTTGGGTCGTGGGTGGGTCGCGGGGTGGGTCGCGGGTGGGTCGCGGGAAACACACAACACACAAACACACAAGCAACAACAATAACAACAACACCAGCAACAACACCAGCAACAACAACAGCAACACCAACACCAACACCACCAACAACAGCAGCAACAGCAACAGCAACACCAACACCACCACCAACAACACCAACAACAACACCAACAACAACAACAGCACCACCAACAACAGCAGCACCATCAACAAAAACAAGAGCAGCATCATCAACACCAACAACACCAACAACAACACCAACAGCAACAACAACAACAACAACAACAGCAACAACACCGCAACCATCAACAAAAACAACAACAACAACGGCAACAACAACAACAACACCAACGCAACAACGCAACAACCATAATCCTCACCACGGATTCCCACTTCAGCCATGCACCCATGGACAATGAATGACCGTTCGACCCCCTCACTCTGATATACATATATATATATTACACAATGTGTATACATGTTTGTGTATACATATATATATATATATATGTATACATGTGTGTGCGTGTGTGCAGGTACGCGTTGCCAAACTTATGTGACAAGGTGGGTACGCACATGTAGGCGCACACGTAGTTACACATACTGCGTGGACGCAAGATCTTCCGGCGCAAGCCATCCCGCTACGTTCCCGAGGTAGAGAGGGCTCGTCACATTCCGGAAAAGGCATTGGCTTTGTTACAAGAGCGATGGGAATTGCACATGCAAGTCGGCAGCCAGTTGCAACAGCATTACAACGTTCGCGGTTGAGTGGGAGGATGAGGCAGATCAATGCCAGGATGGGGGAGGCGGAACGCCCAGGAAAGTCCAGGAGAGAGAACACGAGAAGGATGAGCAAGAGGAGGAGGAGGGGAAGCAGGAGGAGGAGGAGGAGGAGGAGGAGGAGGAGGGGGAGGCGGAGGGGGAGGAGGAGGAGGAGGAGGAGGAGGAGGAGGAGGAGGAGGAGGACGAGCAGGAGGACGAGGAGGAAGAGCAGGATGAGGGAATGGGGGGAGGAGGAGAAGGAGGAGGAGCAGGATGATGAGGTTGTCAACCAGGGAAAGACCAGTTACGTGAGTCTGTTTGCTGGGGCCCTTCACGGCCGAGCTGCTGTCAGCTACCAGCGCCAGGCGTTGCCTGCAGCATGCCATGGTTCTAATTCCCAGGCCATCCTGGCGCCCTGGTTTTGCAGGACGCGAGCTTCCGCCATCCTCACCCGCCACCCTTCTTCCTATTCGCCTCATCTCTCTCTACTCGTCCTCCTCTTTGTTCTCCTTCTCCTCATCCTCGCCTGTCGAGTACATGGTACATGTCTTCCTCTCTCGTCCGTCTCCTTCCCCCGTTCTCCTCCTCTTCCTCGCCCGTCCACCCAAGCCTCTTGCTTGCCCCAGTCTTCTGTTGCGATCTCTGCGAAGACGCCTGTCTAAGCAATCAAGTTAGGCAGGCGCTTGAGACGTTTTTAGCGAGCATTTGAAGACACGGGCTCGAAGTAGGACGCGGCAGCGCTTGTAAACTTTCCAATTCCCGCCAGTGCTCCTGCATGGTCATGCGTACCAGAACTGAAGCGCAAGCTGTGGACGGTTCGCTTGGGGAGGCCAGGCTTCGACTCGCGCGCTCTCGCTGGAAAATGTGCTTGTCATTGTCATCTGGACGATCGTGATCATTCGATTCTCTGCCACCCT